GGTTTTGGCCATTTAGTATGATAGTGGCTGTTGGTTTTTCACAGATGGCTTTTATCAGATTGAGGTAGAGACCATCTATTCCAATTTTTTGTTGGGTTATCATGAATGCATGTTTAATTTTGTCAAATGCTTTTTCTGCATCTAGAGATGATCATATGGTTTTTGTCCTTGGCTCTATTGATATAGTGTTTTACACTGATTGATTTGCATATGTTGAACCATCCCTGCATCCCTAGGACGAATCCCACTTGGTCAGGGTGTATGATCTTGATGATCTTCTGCATTCCGTTTGCCAGTATCTTATTAAGGATTTTTGCATCTATGGTCATTAGTGAGATTGGCCTATAGTTCTCTTTTTCAGTTGGGTCTTTCTCTGCTTTGGGGATCAAGGTGATGTTTGCTTCCAGGAATGATTTCGGGAGTATTGCTTCCCTTTCAATTTTGTTGAAAAGTTTAAACAGTAGTGGCAGTAGTTCCTCTCTAAATGTCTTGTAGAATTCAGCAGTGAAGCCATCAGTACCTGGGCTTTTCTTGGTTGGTTAGATTTTAATTGTTTTCATTTTCATTGATTGATATAGGGTCATTTAGAATTTTTAGGTCTTCTTCAATCAACTTTTGTATTTCATACGTATCTAGGAATCTGTCCATTTCTTCTGTTTTCCATCTTATTGGCGTATGGTTCTTGAAGTAGGTATTGATGATTCTCTGGATTTCTGCTGGATCTGTTGTAATTTCATCCTTTTATTGCACGGATTTGGGCCTTTTCTTTCCTTTTACTGATAAGGTTGGCTAAGCATTTGTCAATTTTGTTCATTCTTTCAAAGAACCAACTGTCTTCATTGACTTTTTTGTATTGTTTTCTTTGTCTCCATTGCATTCAATTCTGCCCTGATCTTTATAATTTCCTCCCTTGTATGAGCTGTGGGTTTGTCCTGCTCTTCTTTCTAGAAGCTTGAGGTTCAGCATCAGGTTAATTGGGCTTGCTGTTTTCCTAATATGATTATTCACTGGTATGAATTTCCCTAAGACTGCTTTCATTGTGTCCCATAGATTCCAATGTTGTATTGTCACGGTCATTTATTTGAAGGAACTGTCTGATTTCTTTAATTTCCTGTGACCCATTGGCTATTCAGAAGTATGTTGTTCAATTTCCACGTTTATGAAGTTTTTGCAGTTTCTTTTGCTGTTGATCTCCAATTTCATTGCACTATGGTCTGATAATATACAGGGGATAACTTCAATTCCTTTGCACTTACCTAAATATG